GCCTGTATAGTATGTATATATATACATGTATAATATATATAGATATCCATGTATAGTATATTTATATATATATATGGATATATATATATGGATATATATCTATATATATCCATTTGTAAATATATATATATATATGTGTGTGTGTGTGTCTGTGTCTGTGTCTGTGGCTCTATGTGTGAATTAGAAGAACACTATAGACTTGCAATACAACTGCATATTAGTATGCTTGCCACGTCATTTTATGCTTGCCACGTCTTTCCATATGTAAGTATGGGAACAGCTTATAGTCCTGCTAGAAATACCGTCGTGATGCAAGCTGGCATCAACACTCTCTTTGTTTCGATTGAATTTTGTAGCTAAGTACAATTTCATCCCTTTTTATCTGACACTGGCAATACATATACCCCCAAATAGTACCCGACAACTCTGATGTTATCGACAAACGATTGAGGACAGGACTGACCCAAACCCCAGGGGCAGAGGTGCAGATGAAGATGCTGCCGCTTTGGCTTTATTTATTCAATCCCTGGACACAGACAGCTGACCAGCTCGAGGGCGAGAAAAGATTGCCTTTCGGACGTGTATATGTTCATGTGGTATGTCACTGCATATATAAATATATATATATATATATGTATGTATGTATATGTATATGTATATGTATATATATATTCTGTGTGTACATGTACATGTACATGTATATACATGCGTAATATATACACGTTAATATAATTATATATTTATATATTATAAATTTAAAAATATTTGAATATATATATATATATACATATATATATATATGCATATATATATATACACACACACACATATATACATATATATACATTATCGGTATCCGTATCGGTATCTATATATCGTGATCTTAATTAGTTCTGATGATTTCGCATGAACCTAGTTTTTCATGCCGATTCAGCCTGATCCCACTCTGAACCATGCTTATTTTGCGTTGTGCTAAATCGTCACCTGCGTATTTGGCGCGGTATCAGGTCGGGGCTAGCGGATTGATTGCATCGGACTTCGCGGTGTTCTCACAGGCCAGTAGTGACCCGTACTGTGTGTTGGAGTGTGGCAATATAGAGAAGGAGAAGGCACAGACGCACCGTATACAGGCGACGGTCAACCCCCACTGGGACGAAGAGTTTGCTATGAATGTGTGGCGACCCAATGCGCAGCTCACGTTGAAGGGTATGTCAAGGGGAGTAGGGTGTGTATATATACGTACGCGCACATGCAGATATAGGTATTTACACGCGTAGAAAGACGCACACATATATATACTTAACATACATACATACATACATACATACACACACATACATACATACGTACATACATTCATACATACATACATACATACATACACACA